TCTGTAAAGCAATTATCCTTCAATTAAAAAAAAAAGTCATATATCAGATAGATAGCTGCTGGGTTGCTAAAACACAGATTTTAAGGGATCTTCACAAAACAAAGTCTGTGATAAACAAATTTGAAAATGGTAGCCTAGGTCTTACTTATTCAATAAGCTAAATGATGGAAAGTTTCAACTGACTTTTGTTCTATTTTAAATAGAGCAGCAAATATCTTTGAAACAGTAACTTTCATCTAAAGACTTGGGAGTCAAGAAAAAGTTCTATCCTTTACCAACAACTAATTATTCTACTTGGGGCTCTCTTCCTTCCAACCAGGTGAACTAGTTTTCCCACGTTAACTTTACCCTGTCTGATCAGCAGATCTTATTTCTTTTCCATCACATCACAGCCTTTACTGCTGACTGGCAGTGAAAAATCTCCGATATTCAGTACTGTAGCTATCTGAGTTCCCAAAATTATTTTGGCCGATTCCATATAAAAATAGAAAATCTGACATTCCTTAGTTATTGGTTATGACATGTCCACATACCAAAATATTTTTTGCCCATACAAATCCATGAAGCCTAAATTTTACTCAAGATAGTATATCAAAAAATTGAAAGGACATGATCTGTAACTTTTTACACACACACATGTAGTCAAGCCTACAGTTGTCTCCAAACCATGCAAGACCCCTCCCATAAAATCATTTTTAAGACACCAGTCCTCAAAAAGTCCTTGCGGAACCCTAGTAGTGCCAGTTTACAGACACACATTTCACCTGTAGGCCTTGGGAGAGTAGAAGGGAGTTGCGCACTACCCGCCTGGACGAGCTCCGGCTTCCCTCATCAGGTTTCATCTAACCTGGAGCAGGCAGAGGCAGAGCAGGCAGAGGCGCTCCCTGCCACACAATACACTGCCGCATGCCCCGCGGCCGAGGGCTGCTGCCTTCCCCGGCAAACATGGACCCAACACAAAAGTGCACCCACCGCGAAACTGAGCTACATCTTCTGGTACATACTTTGATGGCTGACGAATATGAGACTAAAGCCAAATCTCCTCTGGAATGACAACACATGTTAATTTTTGTTACTCTGAGGTAAGTAAATGCCAACTTCCCTGAACACAAGGCAAAGTGACTGAACAACTTTCAACGTGTTTTTCGTGCACTTCTTACATGTAATCATGAAGTCCTTCAGTTAATAACTGAAACTAGAGAGCCAAACAAGTACATTTGCTGGTTCAGAAATTTTTGGCTAGAATAAACTCAGGTCACTGTATTAGAAATATTATAACAGTGAGAAATTGGCCTTTCCTCCCCATATCTACAGGGCTCTATTCACTTCTCCCAACAAAACTAGATTAACACTCAGGACTCTCCCCAAATATTCTTACTTTATTATGGCGCACACCAAGTGGATTGTTTTCCCTTCTTCCTGTCTTCTCCTTTATCCCCAAACCCTTCCAATGGCCTTCAGGGAACCAACCAATTAGCACAACTCTTCAGCTGGCAGAAAGTATGCACAAGAGTATGAACAAGATTTCAAACTAACAGTTCTCCTCTGGCGCTCTTGTTACGGCAACAGCATACTTTTCCACAGATGAGGAGGATGTTATGCAGGAAAAGTAAGGCAAAAAGAAAGGCTCAAAGAGGTCTCTTTGTTCATTCCCCAGAGCACAACCCTCTCAACAAGGAGACAGTTCAAAACTCATTAAAATAAATAAATAAATAATAAGGTAGCAAAAGCATCATATTATCTGGCACTCCAGAGGTAGAAGAGTCTTCTTAAACGTTTGCAAACTTCCTTTCCTAGGAAAATATGCAACTTAAGACAGCAGAGGAAAAACCTGAAATAGGAATCAGGACACTTAAGTTTGAGACTACCAACTGACATTAATTAGCTGTAGGACACTAACAAGTTACTTAATTTCTCTCAGTTATAGAAGCAAAGCATTAGGTCCCTTCCAGCTAACCATTGTTACAAAGTGAAGCAGACTGTAATAACTTTACCTTTCACTGAGGCTAGAAGCAGCTTCTCAAAGGATGAACCAAATGTCATGCCCATTCCCCCAGAGGCAGATAAAACAAAATAAAAACCCAAGGGCGTTTTGTTCTGAATTTGGTCAAAAATTTTGTTCTTCCTTAATAATGAGAAAAAGGTACACTTCTAAAAATATGAGAAATATAAGAGGTTACAGAAAGTTTTCATTTCATTTCCCAACTCTCATTTTCCAACCACAGGAGGCAATTTTGAGAAATCTTTTCAAGGGTAAGTTGTATCCTCTGTGGGGAGATGGCAAGTTCATTATGTTGTCAATGTCTCTGCCCAGTCTGATCATACAGGGCATTCAGCACATCAACGGTTATCTGGAATGCTCTGACCTGTGTATGACACTCTAGAAGCTTGAGACAGGAAATTCTAATCCTCTTCCTTCCTACTAGAGATTACTCATACAAGCCTACTACCACTTTTCTAAATGTTTTCAAGTCTGAAATATGTAACTTCGCACTTGACTCTTTACAAGTTTTTTATTTTAGAACTAAAAAGTTTTTCTACCCAGCAAGATTTTAAGACCACTCAGAGTAAAGACTGCATTTCCTACCTTTGTCTGTGGTCCCCTTTTGTGCAAAGCACTGCCCTGGACCCACAAAACTCACTGAACATACCTAACCACACCAATTCAGGTGCCTAAAGGTGACCAAATAACAATCAGGATTCAGGGAAAGAATATTACATAGAAGAGAGGGAAATGTAACAAAAGAAATGAACAAATCATCAGAAAATTGGAAATTTTCCAAGGGGGGGGGGAATTAAATCAGTAAGTACTGCATATCTAGGTGGCACTGAGGTAACAGCTATAAAAATGGTGTTTAAATCCAACCACAACAGTGCTACATCTTATAAACATATTAGGTAAGTCTTTGTGTTAAAAATTTATGACAATGTGCTCTACTAATAAATAACAGCTCTGTAAAATAGATGAGCTAAGATGTATTTAAATCTGCAATTAAAAAGAAGAAACCATCTAGAGACAGGATAAGTGATATTTGAGAAAGTAGATGAGGACTATGTATGTAGGGAGGAAAGATAAATGATTTAGTATTTCCAGCAGAATCTTTCCCAACACTGTAGGAACTAATTCAGACTACCAGATAGGCATGTATCTTTAAGGCACACTTAAAGACAATGCCCTTACTTTAAAAGCATATAAGCTTGGGTATTTGAAATATGTCTAAAGGTGCCCCTGCAGTTTTTCCCTCAAAGGAATAATGATTAATATACAGCTAAAAGTTTAGTTCCTTCCTCAAATAAATAATTATCTGCTACTATGACATTGGTTCTAAACTGCTGGAAACACAGGCATTACAGAATTCACAAGGAATTCTGGAAGAAGTTATAAATTTCTTTCCATCACCTCGGAAAACAACATCCATTTCTTAAAAGTTGTCAGTTCAAGTTCAAGACAACCTATGGAGAACAGATCCTGGTTTGCCAAATCTTTCACGATTAAACGGCAAGAAGCTTTCAGCATGCTCAGAGGTTGGCCTTGACCAGATGAGGTCAGGAGGGAGGTATCTCCAATGAGGTAAGCCACCTCACTAGAAACTCCACTGTTCCACAAAGTTACAACTTCCTTAAGCCCAGTTCTCCACATACATCAAAGAACGTCTCCTGCCTGGATCATTTAAAAGTATTCCAAGGCAGCCACGCCACCCCTAGAGTCGCCTGGGTGGATTCCTCTGTAGAGCTCTCTCAGAGATTTTTATTCCTTGCTGGCAAGATCTTCTTACTCTACCGTCTTGATATTGTGCAACGATTAAAAAATGGCCCAGGCCTAACGGCAAGGGACTGGTTGGAGCACAACTGGTGAGCCCAGCCCACAGGAACCAAGCTAGCAAACCGGCAGACGGCAAGGGCTGCCAGCAAAGTCCCAACCCTCTAGCCAGAGGCCACGATCAAAAAGCTAAGTAACCGAATTAAAAATGAAGCACCATTCCCTTCATGAGGTCCCTCAAGATCGCTCTCCAGTCTTCTCCCACTGGATAAAAGCCCAGTCAGGGGACAACCTTTGAGCTCCCTTTTCCCGTGACCAATTAATGCCACGCTCTTCACCTCCACCCCAGTGTTCTTCCTTGTAAACAGTCTTGGTCGCACTCTGAAAAGTAGTGCCCAGGGACCCCGCTCTGCACGGCCCCTTCCCCCGGATGAGGCAGTCCCGCCGGGGAGGGTACCGTCTTCCACCTATCTCCACAGGCGTCGCCGCCAAAACTCTACCCTCAAGGCTGCCAGCGCTCCTTTCCCTGGGCTATTACTTGAGCATGATTTTATCACTCCTCCTCCAGCCTGGGGACTCCCCCCACCCGTGGGGCCTCGTCCAGCAAAGTAAACAATGCTGTCAAAGCAGGATAACACTGGGCGAGGCTTCCAAACTCCGCATTCCAGCCTCCCCCCTCCTGGAGTTCTAGAAGCAGCAAAACAAGTCATCGCAGGGTCCCAGGAGCAAACTACTCTCCCCAACTTCCTTTCTAAAAAGGCCGGGAGACAGCTCCAAAATCAAGCTTCAATGTGCACAAAGACACTGTATGTAAGAGGCAGAGGGAATGCGGAGCGAGTGCAAAGCCAAGTGTAGACGAATTTGCCCTGGAGTACGAGGGCGGGGGAAGGAGAAAACTGGGTCGAGTGCGTAAACCTGCCACGAAGCGGGAACAGGGGCTTTTTTTTTTCCACGAGAGGAGAGCCAGCCACGTTCCCAGACCGGGCACGCGCTGAATAGAGTTGCGGGAGAGAGAGAACGTGAAGCTAATGTTCTCGAAAGCCGTCTCAAGGGGGTTTCGGGGGAAGCCCCAGGAAAGGGGCTTTGGTGAGGCCGGGGTGGCCCGAGCGGCCCAGAGTGGATACGCCCCGAGTTAAAGGACCGCGGCGGGAAACTGCGGGGACACCGCGGAGGTTAGCGCGGGCGCGCTCGGGTACCTGCCGCGGGCTCGGGTGAGGGCGGCGCGGGCGCCGACGCTCACCTCCCGGTGTGGTGGAGAAGAGCGTCCCCCCGGGCGTGGTGCAATAGTCATGAGGTAGCTGCGCGGCGTCGCTGATGGGCACGGTGCGGGTGGGGATGGCGCGGCTCTGGCTGGGCTGGTGGCCGCTGCCGGCGGACGAGGACATGGCTCTGGGCGCGGACTCTCGAGCTTTTGTCCGGCGGGCGGGCGGGCGGGCAGGCGGGCGGCGGCGGCGGCTGAGGGCCCGAGCTGCTCCAGCTGCTCAGGCGGGCTGAAGGGCGGGCGGGGTTAGGCGCGCTCCGCTCGCTCCTCGCTCGCTTCCTCTTGCTCCCTTGTCCCGCTCCGCTCCCGCCGCCGCCCTCTCAGCCGCCGCCGCCGCCGCCGCCCGATCCTCCGGCCTCCGCCAGCAGCCTCAGCAGCAGGAGCAGCGGCAGCAGCGGCGACGACGACGACGACCGGAAGCGGGCGAAGGCGGGAGCCAGAGGGAGGTCGGGGTAGCTGGTCGGCCGGACGTGACGTCACGAGGGCGGGTCCTGGGTGGCAAGGCTCTTGGCGGGGCGGGGCTTATGCCCAGAGGGCTGGACGCGAACCGGACTGAACTTAGGCCAAGTGTTTGTGAACTGAACGTAGGTGTGCTTGGAAAACTTGTGTGGGTTTTTTATTATTATTATTATTGTCAGTCAACACTAATTGAGTTGACTTCTGTTTCCTATATCGAGGCAAAAGTGTTATTTTACTTTTAATTGTTCATTATTAAATAAAAGGAATGCGTGCATGTATTAAAAGACGATCAGAATGGTTTATGGTGCCACCGTGCTCAAAGGGTAGCAAATTTTTTCGATAAAAAATTTAGCGAGAAAGCAGCCTTCGACAACATGTAAATAAATACACGTGGATCCAACAAGACTTTATTGACAAAAACAGGTGACCAGGTGGATTTGTCCTGTGGGCCATGGTTTGCAGATCCTGTCTTTGTTTTGTTTTTGTTTCGTCCAGGTGCACGTCTTGTGGGATCTTAGCTCCCTGACCAGGGACTGAACTTGGACCCAGGCAGTGAAAGCACCGAGTCCTAACCAGTGGGCCACCAGGGAATTTTCCTGTCTTTGCTTACACTATACATGAATTCAACAAATCTATAACAAGCACCTACTGTGTGTGTCAGGAACTTTCTAGGGGAGAAGGTATAGCAGTAAACAAGACCAGAGGCCCCCCAGCTCAGTGGAGTGAGCATTCTGCTTGGAGCAACGGGGCTCTCCTCCTCACCTCCCCTCCCCTACCTAACCCAGACTCCTATTTAATACTTGGTGTGGGTGGCACTGGGCTTTCCAGGTGGCTTGGTAGAGAACCTGCCTGCCAATGCAGGAGACATAAGACACATGGGTTTGATCCTGGAGTCGGGAAGATCCCCTGGAGGAGGGCATGGCAAACCCACTCCAGTATTCTTGCCTGGAGAATCCCATGGACAGAGGAGCCTGGCAGGCTACAGTCCATAGGGTTGCAAAGAGTCCCACATGACGGAAGCAGCTTAGCACACATGCATGTGGGTTGGCCTGCCTTGACTTTCCTTGTGCTGTCAGATGTGGTTCTTCCCCTGGGAGCTCCCACAGTTCCCTGTGTACACTGACGTCACTTGTACCGATCGTGTGCATGAGTGTTATCTGCTTACGCCTCTGGCTCCCTTCAAGGCTGAACACTTCAACGTCAAGGGCTGGGCCCATCCTCCCCTCATAGTTTGGGGCCTAGCTCAGAATCAGCCTGTGGTCTGCGGCATTGAATTGACCTTAAGAAGTCTTTGTGGAGACTGAGAAGGAAACGTTAGGCATAGTTGTGGGCAGTTCGGCCGTGGAGGGACCTGTTCAGCTGAGAAGTTGTGTTTATCAGCTGGGTTATGTGTACCTCTTTTATGTGTCCACGAATTTTGACAGATGTTTATTTTACATCCTTGTAAACACCACCCCACTGAAAATCTGCAGCATTTCCTCACACCCAAAAGTTCCTTTGCAGTCGTCACTTCACACCCCAAGCCTCAGCCTGAGATAATCACTGATCTGCTATCACTGCAGGTTAGCTTTGCCTGTTCTAAAACTTTATAGAAATGAAATCACACTGTGTATATTGTTTTACACTTGGCTTCTTCACATAGCACAATGTGTTGCTATATCAGTAATCCACTCCTTATGGCTGAGTAGTATTCCATTTATGAATATACCACAGTTTATCAGATGAGAATTTAAAGGAAATATATCTGTTGTTCCCTTTCCCAGAACCTACTATGGGGAATCAAGAGGGTCTTGGGTGGTGGCCTCAAATGTACAGGCTGTGTATTTTCTCTTATATTAAGAATATTATGGTTTATATTAGGAAATATGTATTTGTCCTCAGTCCCTGTTCCTAGCACAGAGCTCCTAAGACCATTAAAACTTCCTGAGGGATGAGATTGATCTAGGTGTCTTTTGTGATGTCAAGGTGAGTTTTGAAACACCCTTAGGTCACCCAAGAAGGAGAACTGGTCACCAGTGAAACCAGCCAGGTGATTTGGAGAGCTAGAACTTTCATTGTCACCCCTCTGACCTCTGGGGAGGGAAAAGGGGCTGGAGAGCGAGTTCAATCACCAATGGCCAGTGAGCTAATCAATTATGCCTGTGTGATGAAGCTTCCATAAGGACCTAAAAATGATGGACAGAGAGAGGCTCAAAGAACTTCCAGGTTGGTGAACATGTGGAGATCTGAGGAGTGTGGTGTGCCCAGAAAGAGCATAGAAGCTCCACTTTCTTTCCTCATACTTTGCCCTATACATCTCTTCCATCTGGCTATTCTTTTTTCAGTAGTGTTTTTTTTTCCTAATTGGAAGATACTTGCTTTACAATGTTGTGGTGGTCTCTGCTGTACATCAATGCAAATCAGTCCTGATTATATACACTCCCTCCCTGTTCAGCCTCCCTCCCGCCTCAGTCCACTCCGCTGGGTCACCACAGATTGCCAGGCTGGGTTCCCTGTGTTTTACCGCAGCTTCTCACTAGTTATGCACCTGGCTGTTCTGAGTTATATCCTTTTATAATAAACCAGTGGCCTAGTAAATAGCAAGTTTCTGAGTTCTGTGAGCCACTCTAGCAAATTAATCAAACCCAAGGAGTGGGTAATTGGAACTGCTGATCTATAGTTGGTTGGTCAGAAACACAGGTGATAATCTGGACTTTAGATTGGCATCTCAAGCTGTGGGGGGGGGGGGGCGGGGAGCAGTCTTACAGGACTGAACCCTTAATCTGTGGCATCTGATGCTATCTCCAGGTAGTGTTAGAATTAAGTTGAATTATAGGGTATCTACCAAAACAAAAAACAAGTGTAAAAAACTAGGGACTTGCTTGGTGGTCTAGTGGTTAAGACTCCTTGCTCCCAATGCTAGGGGCATGGGTATGATCCCTGTGGGAACTAAGATCCCACATGCTGCGGGATGCAGCTAAACAAACAAAACAAAACCAAGTGTATAGGGTACCCAGTTGGTCTTGGAGAATTGCCTGGTGGTGAGGGAAAAAAAACATTTCAGAATTGGGGGCAGAATCTTATCTCTGAATGAGGTTATCTAGATAGCTGGCGATTTGAAAGCTGCTGATGCAATTGTGACCTCTGGATCCATACCTGATGTACTGCCAGGATAGAATGTCCAATATATACCACATCTGGAGAGCCCTTTCTTGGAAATTTTAATGTTAACTAATATAACTTGGGTTTCAAATAACGGAAGTGACCTGGGTGTCCCCAAATTAGGGGTTCTCCTTCTGTAGCCTATTATTCCAGTGTTTAGCTAGCAGGCCTTACCCAAATTCATTCCTTTTAACTCCCCTGTACCTACCTGCTATCACCTTTCTCTCTGGTTTCGTCTTTCTCCGGGGCAGAGAGAGGCTCTTTCCCCCGCCCTCTGTATTGAGGCCACCCACACTCGATCTGTATCATCATAAGGATAATAGCCCCTTATCTTTAGATAACACTTTTCCACTTTAACAAGCACTTTCAGACCATTATCTCACTTAAGCTGAGCCACAGCCCTGTGATGGAGGCAGCCTGCTTATTATTCTTTTCATTATTATTATCGATATTCTTCTTCTTACATTTCACAGATAAAGAAACTGTGACTCAAAGAGGTTATGACTTCCTGAGCTTCTGATTGGCCATTCTATGTGCTTCCTATTGTGCCCACAGGCCTCCTGCATCATAAAGAGGGTAAGGTGCCCCCTGGGTACCCGTTCTTTATTGTCATATTTGCTGAACTCATGGAGGGATAAGCAGTAGCCATTCTTGAGCTCCTGACACATAAAATACTGAATGTGTTCAGATGGTGATAATAATCATAGATAACTTTTATAGACAGTGAGGCTGAGTCACATGCTGTTTTAGGCCTTCTAGAGATCTTATCTCTAATACTGCCAACTTCCATACAAGGTGGATATTATTATGCCTGTTTTACAGGTAAGGAAGCAGCCTCAGAATCCACCTGCCAATGTAGGAGACAAAAGTTGCGGGTTGGATCCCAGGGTTGGGAAGAACCCCCAGAGGAGGACATGGCAACCCACTCTAGCATTCTTGCCCGGGAAGTCCAATGGACAGACGAGCCTGGTGGGCTACAGTCCATGGGGTCACAAAGAGTCAGACACGACTTACGGACTGAACCTACACAGGCACATTCAGAAAGGCTAACTTGCCTGACGTCACCTGTGTCTGAAAATTCTCTAGCCTCTCACTGTGGTTTGGAGAAGGCAATGGCAACCCACTCCAGTACTCTTGCCTGGAAAATCCCATGGCCGGAGGAGCCTGGTAGGCTGCAGTCCATGGGGTCGCTAAGAGTCGGACACGACTGAGCAACTTCACTTTCACTTTTCACTTTCATGCATTGTAGAAGGAAATGGCAACCCACTCCAGTGTTCTTGCCTGGAGAATCCCAGGGACGGTGGAGCCTGGTGGGCTGCCATCTATGGGGTCGCACAGAGTCTGACACGACTGAAGCAATTTAGCAGCAGCCGCAGCTCATTGTGGTTTGGAACCCTCCACTGTGACCTCGCATGTACATTGGTTCAAGTGCTGGGTCTCCCACCTGCTTGCCACGTGACCATGAGTCTCAACGTGTTCCCTCATCTGAAAAATAGGAGGGGTCCCTCATTCACAGAGTGTTCT